GGTTTCTCGTCACAAGACATAAAAAATATGCTCCTCTGACAGATATCTCCTGTTTTACTTACAATCTTTTTCGAAAAAATATTCTGGTTTGTAGTGGGATAACTGTAGTTATATCTCAAACATACTGTTAAGAGTTTTGAATCTTGACTCATTCTGCGCCTGAAATCATTTCTTGCTCTTAAATGATCAAGTAAAACGCAACAAAGTCTAAAATAATTTAAAAGATCTTCAGAAAGGTTCCTTCAAAGATTCAAAGAAATTTTTTTCATTCAAATTGAGCAGAAATGTATCAGTTTCTAATCAAAATGAACAAATGTGTTGAAATGAAATCGTAACGTCATGACGTCAGCTGCCTTTGCGTCACCGCGCCCTCCGTCCTCCTCAGGGAACGCGCACATTCCTATTGTCCAAGATGGCGGCCCTGGTGCAGCTCCTGTGATGCTGAAATGTTTCCCATCGTTTCTAACCGTTTTCACCGTAAATGTGCTAAAACTCAGCGGCCGCCCTGGAAGCGCGTCTCTCCCTGAAGCCGTCCCCAGCCGCCTCGTCTCCACGAACACTCCAGGAACCCGCTCCGAGCGCCGAATTCCCGCTGCACGGCTCCGAAAAGTTTGGGCTCCATCCTTCGGTGAAAGATGAAGAGGCAGGCCGGGAGAGAGAGCAGCCCGTCCCGCGCTATCGCTAAGCGGATACGGGAAAGGGAGCGGGAGAGCGCCCGCAGAGAGGAGCTGCCCCCGCCGCCTCTGGCTCTGCTGCTGGCGGAGAGCCGGAGCTATCACCGCCGCAGCCGCAGCAGGGAGCGGGAGAAGCCGCGGCTCAGAGAGGAGCGGGCGGCCGCCCTGGAGCTCCACCACCGACATGAACTCAGCCTGCTCGGACGGCCGCCGCTGCGCGCCGCCGAGCCGCCCGCCGCCAGGCCCGGGACGCTGGAGTACAAGACGCTGCTCATCAGCCCTGGGCTCGCAGGTGTCGGACGAGGACGTGGAGGACTCGCTGTTCCACGAATTCAAAAAGTTCGGGGACGTGAGCGTGAAGCTGTCCCACACCCCGGAGCTGGGCCGGATCGCATACGTGAATTTTCGCCACCCGGAGGACGCGAAGGAGGCCCGGCACGCCAAGTCGTCCCGCCTGGTTCTGGGGGAACGCCAGCTGAAGATAGAGCCCATGTACGTGAGGAGGCGGAGTGTGACCCCGCCGGACGTCGGGTACCTCCCGCTGCATGCGCCGCCGTACCCCTACCGGCAGCGCTCCCTGTCCCCGCCCGGGCCCGCCGTCAACAGCCTGCGTGAGCTGCGGGCCCGGCAGTACGCCCTGGAGAGCCTGGCGCTGACCCGGGACCGGGACCGCCTGCTGGATTACTATGGGATGCTGGATGAGCGGGGCGGCCCTTCGGGTTCCCCGCCATGCCCGTGGTGGAGGACCTGAAGCCGGAGGACGACCAGAGGGCCACCAGCAACCTGTTCATCGGGAACCTGGACGGGAACGTGACGGAGGCGGAGCTCCGGCGCGGCTTTGATAAGTACGGCATCATTGAGGACGTGGTGATCAAACGTCCGGCCCGCGGCCAGGGCGGCGCTTATGCCTTTGTGAAGTTCCAGAACCTGGACATGGCCCACCGGGCCAAGGTGGCCATGCAAGGCCGGCTGATCGGTGGGAACCCCATAAAGATCGGCTACGGCAAGGCGAATCCCACCACCCGGCTGTGGGTGGGCGGCCTGGGCCCCGGGAACTCTCTGACCGCCCTGGCCCGGGAGTTTGACCGCTTCGGCAGCATCAGGAACATCGACTATGTGAAAGGGGACAACTTTGCCTACATTCAGTATGAAAGCCTGGACGCTGCCCAGGCCGCCTGCACCCAGATGAGGGGCTTCCCCTTGGGGGGCCAGGAGCACCGTCTCCGGGTGGACTTCGCCAAGGTGGAGGAGAGCCCCTCCCGGCCCTTCCCTCCCGGGTACCAGCCTCCCATCGCGCTCTCCGCCCACTACGACCTCCTGGGGGAGGCGTACAGCCGTCACCGCAGCCTGGAGAGGGAGCTGCGGGGCGGGCGGGAGCGCTCCCCGCCCCCCCCAAGCCTCCTCTCCCTCCGGGAGCGGGGCCTCCTGGAAAGAGACTTTCCCAGCAGCCCCACGCGAAGCCTGGAGCGGCGGGCCGGAGGGGTGGAGGCCTTCGGGCGGAGCGGACGGGCGGCGCGGAGCCGCAGCAAGAGCCGGGAGCGGTGGCTGAAAGAGCGGGAGGAGAGGCGGACCCGCAGGAGGAGCCGCAGCCTGTCCGCAGACAAGCCGCCAGAGGAGAAGGAGCGGGGGAGGTCGCGAGTTCGCGGTCCAGGAGGGGCGGTGTCTCCTGATGCCAGCCCTGACCGGGCGCGGGTACGCGCCCCCGACTCCACCACCGAGCCACGGGACCACTCCCCCGACAGCGGCGCCGGTCGACACTCCACCACCAACGAAGAAGAGCTTCCCGCCGGCCGCCACCACAGCAAGAGGTCCTCCAGCGATCACCTGAACAACCACCACCACCGCGCCGAGGCGGCCGGCACCGCCTCGCCTGCCACGGACGCCCCGGCCTCCCCCAGCACGCTGTCAGAGTTCGCCCAGGGCGCCCTGTCCAGGCTGTGGCGCGGCTTCTTCGCCCTGAAGAACAGCAGCTTCCCCACAGACCTGTTCCTGCTGGAGGGCGGCGCGGCCTACTTCCACACGGTGATGAAGGACAGCCTGAAGCTGCAGAGCCAGCCCAGCCAGCTGAAGATCGCCCAGCGGCTGCGCATGGACCAGGCCCGGCTGGACGAGGTGGCGCGCCGCATCAAGCTGGGCCGCCCGGACGGCTTCGCCATCCTGCTGGCCCTGCAGGGCCCCGTGGACCGCCAGGCGCCGGGGCTGGACCCGGGCCTGCAGGTGCGCCTGCTGCGCCACCTTGTCACCTACCTGCGAAACAAGGAGGCGGCGGGCGTGGTGAGCCTGCCGGCCGCCAAGGAGGGCACCCCGGGCGCCATGCTATACGCCTTCCCGCCTGGGGAGTTCTCGCAGCAGTTCCTGCAGGCGGCCAAGAGGACTGTGGGTAATCTGGAGGAGGAGCACATGGTCATTGTGATTGTCAACGACACTAACTGACTCCCGGCGCTTCCTCCATGTTGTTCAGTGTTTGTTTCAGTTTAAATGAATTCCAGCCAGTTACACTACATGTTCCTCAGCGACCCGGCGGATGAAGACGGCCCAAAGGAACCTTTAGAAACACTTCAGCTGGTTTTGCTCCAGGAAGCTGGAAAACGTGACACTAAAAGCTTCTCACTTTATCCCGTTTTATCCATCCTGGAAACTCGCAAGATGTTTCTGGAAACTTGAAGCTAATCCTTTCCTGTTTTTATTTGGTGATCCTCCTCTTCCTCGCTGTGTTCTGGTGTTCTTAGCATTCCAGTCCATTCTCCCAGCATGCACCAGGAGAGACACCCTTCCCATCTATGTTGAAACTTCCAGTTGATCCGTTTTGAGTTGGGATGGTTTTTTAAACTCCCAGCAGAGCCTTCATGTTTCCATCTGTTCTGGTTTTATTAGCGAACGGTAGATTTATGAAGCAGAAGAAACATTTTTGACTCCAAAACTTTCAGCAAATTAAAAACTCAAATAGCAAATTGGACATTTTTATGGGAATGAGTCAGAAATATGAGCAGATCAGGATGAATGATGGTCACTAATGATTTGTGTTTTAAAAAGAGAAATACTTGATGTTTTATTGTTTCATCTTCAAACCGTTTCTGAAATAAAACCAGAGTTTTTACAGCTGAAGTCTCATTTCTGCTTTTGAAACTTAATGGATTGAATTAAAACCGAGGTTTTAAACTCATTTTCTTTTTCACACACATCGAGATCAACAATGCCACTAGGGGCAGAAAGTATTGCTAAAAATATTAAAATATGAATAAATAACTATTATGAGTTCCTCTTTTAATTAAATATGAAATGTATTTTCACCTTCATGCAATCTATTATACAGAAAACTGCTGATTTGATGATATTTAAAAACTCAACTATAAACTTGAGTCTAGAAGGCCACAAAAAAAACTTGGCGTACTGAATTTGGCCCACGAGCCGTGACGTCGACACATGATCTAACATTAAGAGTTCAGAAATGAGACAGTAGCTCAGAAGTTTAAAGAAAACTAATCAGATAGTTTCATGTAAAAGTACTGTTAAAAAATGTTTAACTTTATTACAAAAATCGATTGTTTTGGACTAAATTAATGAAGGTAAGGTCATTTATTTGGTTCAAAATTAATGACAGTTTTTTTCATAAGCTAAATAAATGGAGGAAATTTAGTGAAAATATTAAGGAAACATTGTCTGCAACTCCTTGTTGCAGTGAAACAAAATTAATAAATAAGCCACAAATTATAAAATACACATACAAACATTTGTTAAAAAATTCAGAAATTCATTTTACATTTACTAGAAAAGTTTGGATATTTTCTGTCAGAAATTACAAGAAATGTAATTTTCTGACATTATAACATCTAAACTTACTGAAAGAAAAAAACTTGTCAGGATTGTGGAGAAAATATTTTCCAACTAATGTCTGGAGTTTTCCCTTAAAAATGACTGACATCACAATATCAGGGAATAACTTTGTTTTAATATGATATATTCGTTATTGAATTACTATTAATTAATGCTCTTGAATCCTTTTGCCTTGAATCTTGGAAAATTGTGATTTTCTTAAGACTAAATTACATTTTTTTTCTAATGAAAATGTTAACTTGAATTTCAATTTTCTCCTTCATGGATAATTATTTATTTTCAGAACTCATACCGCGTCATATTCGGGGTTTTAGGTCATATTGGGGTTGAATAGCCAACAGTTAAAGGCACATTTTCAGCAACAAGGCAAGACAAAGTGTTTGTTTATGTCGGTAGGTGGCGGTAAATGCATCTTCACATGGTTTGGCATCCGCCATTGAAACCCAGAAGAAGAAGCAGCAGGAGAGAAGAAGAAGAAGCAGCGGGAGAAGAAGAAGTTGTTAGACGGCAAACGATCCGCGGACGGAGTGTTTCTTTCTGAAGGTTTGTAGCTTCTGGTTCTGTTTCAGCTTCTTGTTTGGTTTGGATATAAGGGATCGTTTCTGTTTCCGGCTCGTTCTGCTGCATTTCTCTGGAGTTTGTTTCCTGTTTGAACTCGAGAAAACAGCGAAGCTAAACTGGCCTTTTGCTAACAGCAGCGTTTCAGTTATTCATCTTCATTTGGTTTTGCTCACAAAACAACAGTTTTGTGGGCAAAACTGTCGTTTTTGTGAGCAGATTTTATTGTTCAACAATCTGGCTAAAATATTTAAATTTCTTTAAATCTATATTTTGAAACCTGTATGACAAACCCCAGATCAGAACAAAAAGAGCATTTTGACATGAAAAAAGTATAAATAAAAATAGTTGTGTCTGAAAATACTCTGCAAACAAAGTAGAAAAGAAGCAGGAATGATTACACTGTTAAATTAACTGTTAGCATTTTGATATGATGGGTTTTTTTGTGTTATTACAACATTCATGCACTTCCTGCTAATACAATTTGGTCACTTTAAAATGTGGGTGATTTTTAGTATTATTTTCAAAAAGGACATTTTATAAAAAACTGACCAAGAATGACTATAGTTTGACTGTTCATCCCTGGTTGGAAGACCATATTTTGCTGTGTCAAAGATTAGATTTGCACCCATAAATAGATTTCTCATACAAATATTTGTAAAATAAATATTTTGTTTTATCAATATCCATCTGTTGTGCCAGATTGGGACTGAATGTGGTGAAAAATATTGCGTAAGAATAAATGTTTTATTTTACAACTCAATTAAAAAAAATCTTACTAGGAAAATTATGCCAAAGATTTCCATATTTTGTTTTAATGAAATTTTGCAACCACTTGAGTCACTGGATCAGAATCAGTCATATTTGATTCCTCCTATCAAAATTTAACTACATAAATTCTTCTCATAAAATGCAGCTGTTAGTCCAAATGAAATTTAGGTTGTCTGTACTTTAGGAATGCAAGTGATTAATTAGTGTATCTAAAGATCTTATTGATCAATGAATAATTAATTAAGTTAGTAATTTTCTTAAAACCCTTAGTTGTTCTGAGAGATAACCACCTTTACAGAGTAAACAAAGACACATTTTCTATAATATGCTGAATTTTTTGCAGAAAGAAATCAAGCTTCCTCCTTAAACATTTTCTCTGCTGCTGTTTCAGCTTCACTCAGAGACAAAATGGCTTCCAGACCAGAGGAGGATCTCTGCTGTCCGGTCTGTCAGGATGTCTTTAAGGATCCTGTTGTTCTGTCATGCAGCCACAGCTTCTGTAAGGAGTGTCTGAAGAAGTCCTGGAGAGCAAGACCTGGACTTTCATGTCCTGTTTGTAGGAAAAGATCTGACAGAAAAGATCCTCCAGTTAGTTTGGCTCTGAAGAGACTCTGTGAATCATTCTTAGAGCAGAGAGAGCAAAAAGCTTCAGAGAGGCTCTGCAGTCTGCACTCTGAGAAACTCAAACTCTTCTGTCTGGACCATCAGCAGCCAGTTTGTCTCATCTGCAGAGATTCAGAAAAACACATCAAGCACAGATTCAGACCCATTGATGAAGCTGCTCAGCAACACAAGAAGAAACTTCAGGAAACTCTGAAACCTTTAAAGAAGAAACTGGAGCAGAAGAAGGAAGTTAAAGAGGAGTTTGATCAGACAGCAGAACACATGAAGGTCCAGGCCCGACACACAGAGAGGCAGATTGTTGAGCAGTTTAAGAAGCTTCATCAGTTTCTAGCAGAGGAAGAGGAGGCCAGGCTGGCTGCACTGAGGGAGGAAGAGGAGCAGAAGAGAGGGATGATGGAGGAGAAGATGGAGGCTCTGAGCAGAGAGATAGCAGCTCTTTCAGACACAGTCAGAGCCACAGAGGAGGAGCTGAGAGCTGAAGACGTCTCATTCCTGCACAACTACAAGGCTGCAGTGGAAAGAGTCCAGCGCTGCCCCCTGCTGGAGGATCCACAGCTGCCCTCAGGAGCTCTGATAGACCAGGCCAAACATCTGGGCAACCTGGCCTTCAACATCTGGAGCAACATGAAGGACATGGTGTCCTGCACTCCTCTGGTTCTGGACCCAAACACGGCTGGGCCAAGACTCCATCTGTCTGACGATTTGACCAGAGGGACGTTTGGAGAGAAACAGCAGCTTCCTGATAATCCAGAGAGATTTGGACCAGAGTGGTCTGTCCTCAGCTCTCAGGGCTTTAACTCAGGGAACCACAGCTGGGATGTTGATGTTGGAGACAGTCAGTATTGGTTGCTGGGTGTGTTAGTAGAGTCTGCCCAGAGGAAGGGGAAGATACAGTCTGGATTTTGGGTTATTCAGTTCTATGCAGGTATATATTCAGCACGGTTTACAGAAGATTGTCTCTCAGGTCTCCCAGTCCACAAGAAACTCCAGAGGGTCAGAGTGAATCTGGACTATGATGGAGGGAAGCTGTCCTTCTCTGATCTGGATACTAACACACACATACACACCTTCACACACACCTTCACTGACCGGATGTTTCCTTGTTTCGTCTCTGCCAAGATCAAAATCCTATCCATGGAGATCTCAGTGAGAAAACAGCAGCTCTGTCCAAGTTAAACCTTCTTGATCAGATTTAAACTCTGTGGTTTTAGACAGGAAACTGGAGTTTCTACTGAACATCTGGTTGTTTTCAGCTCAGCTTCAGATCTGCTTCATAAGCCAGAAACTGAATATGACATGAAGTGGATGATGTGAAGCTTGGACTGGCACTGACTCAGCAGGGTCAGTTTATCATACCGTCGCTCAGAAAACATTTCAAAATGCTTCGCAAGAACTCCAAGGGTAAACATCTAAAATACATTCATCAAGGTTTGATGAAACATACAGTTCAATATATCAGATGCCTAAGAATATAAGCATCGCAGGTTTTCTGCAGTTTGGTTCAGATCTGAGGAGCATAGAAACTAAAAGATGCCTCACTCTGTTCTGGTTCTTGAACTCTGTATGGACAGATCTCTGGAGACCTTCATGGTTCGTACTTGGCTAGGAACTCAGCCAAGTACGAGTTGGCTGACCCTAACAGTAACCCTGCTCTATGGACCAACAGCAGAAATGAGAGTTTCTGTTGTATCTGAGAAGATTTTGAGGAAATTCTGAGCCATCCTCTCATTGCTGTGATGAACAACCTGCCTGTACCGGACTGAGCTGACATGGAGAAATACAGAGCAAATGGTAATCTGGCACTGGACAAACATCTGGGCAACCTGGCCTTCAACATCTGGAGCAACATGGAGACCCTGGTGAGCTACACTTCTCTGGTTCAGATCCAAACACGGCAAATCCAAAGCTCCTGCTGTCTGAAGATCTGACTGGTGTTAGTGAGGAACAGCAGCTTCCTGATGATCCAGAGAGGTTTGATTACTCGTGTTCTGTTCTGAGCTCTGAGGGTTTTAACTCCCAGCTGGGATGTTGATGTTGGAGACAGTTCACATCGGTCTCTTGGTGTGTTAGCAGAGTCTGTCCAGTGGAAGGGAAAGGTAGATTCTGGATAGTTGTTTATGCAGTTTTGTAAAGGTAAATACTCAGCATGGTCTCCACCACCTCCTGTCATATTCATCTCAGTCCAGAGGATCAGAGTGAATCTGGACTGAGATGGAGGAAACTGTCCTTCTCTGATCTGGACGGACGGACAAACACACACACACACACACACACACACACACACACACACACACACACACACACACACACACACACACACACACACTGACAAAATGTTTCCTTTCTTCAACACTGAGGATTCTCTCAAAATTCTACCGATGAAGATCTCAGTGGGCAAACATCAGCTCTGATGTCCTCAGCATGAAGAACTGAAACTGCAAATGAAACCTTATTGGTCAGATTTAAACTGTTTTAAACAGGAAACTGGAGATGATCTGAATGATCAGCTGGTAGTTTTCTGCAGAGAGGATCTTCAGGGCTGACCTTCCCTCCAAACAGGACTTCTACAGCGTTAGGTTCAGGAAGAGGGCAGCCAATATCTCTGCAGACCCACACATCCTGGACACAAGCTGTTTACATTTTCACTGTCAAGGTGGAGCTACAAACAGTTCATGCCAGACTGCCAACTTAAAATATAGTGACTCATGAATGTTTGCTTTCAACCAACCATGAGTTTTTCCTCCGTAGAAAAAGTGTATATAAACGTATTACTCTTATTTTTTATGTTTATGAAAATGTGCATTGATTTGTGTGCACAATTTTGACCAATAAATCTTTATTTCTGATCAGTCACCAACAGATGTGTGGTCTGTGTAATCTGACCAGTGTGAGTCTAGGAGAGAAACGGCAGCTTCCTGAAACTCCAGAGAGGTTTAATACTGGACGAGTCTGTCCAGAGGAAGACATTCATCAAGTCTGGATGGTGGGTTATTCAGGTCTGTAGAGGTAAACATGTTCCACCTGCTCCTCCGATCGATCGATCAGTCCAGAGTGAATCTGGACTGATGGTGGAAAGCTGTCATTCTGAATACTAACACACACACACCTTCACTGACGGGATGTTTCCTCTTCATCATGGTGGGTAAAGCAAAGATTTTACCAATGGAGATCTGAGTGATCAAACTGCAGCTCTGATGTTCTCAAAGTTTCCTCAGATATTTGAAGCTGTGGTGTCCATACACCCAACGCCAGGACGCCATTAGTCTGTCACTATTATTATGACACGTTCTAGTGACACGTTGGTCTGCCGGGAATCAATCAATACTATGGATATTTGTAGTTTATTATTTTTTCAGCCATGTCTTCTTCTTTTGTGGTACATACAAACATTTCATGTAAGTTTGTTTGCACCAACTTGGGATTAAACTTTCCCTGCTGACTCGTTGACAGATGGGTTTGGGTCGGTTCTGTAAACGGAGCCCAGCAGAGCAGCCAGGAAATGTTTGACTGATCATGACACCTGATTTACTTTGTGAAAATTATGGCATTGTGTCCATATTCAGGTATTTTAAATGACTAACAAATTTTCCAGATTACATTATTTATTAGATATAACTGGTGAATATGGTAAACAGTGTCTAGTTGTGGTTGTGATGAAACTAGACCTTTAATGTGATTTACTTAGTTCGACTGCTGGTGAGGAAAAAAGTTTTTCTATTTCACAAAACTTTAAACTCAATACTTAAAATAATTATGTGTAAAAATGATGCAAAGTACTTCTAGTAAAAATATCTACAGTTTAAAAACAGTGAAACTGGTCTACACATTAGAGATCTCATTTTAACATCAGCAGTGAAAGTGTGTGACTTAAATACTTTTTCAAATGTTTATTCACTATTACATGAACTAGATAGACATGGTAAAATAGACCAGCATTTATTTAAGTTGCTGTTTTTTACTAAAATGTCACTGAAATAACTGTAACTAAACCTTCCTCTGCTTTTTAACAGTGAATAACAGGAAAGAATGAATTTAACCATTACTTTAAATGGTTAGCTGTGAAAAAGTCAGCTATTTTTTATTAGGTAAGACAAACTTTTTTTTTATTAAGAAAACCTACAAATACAAATAAAGTGAGGAACACAACACAGTGTAATAAAGTACGGCAGGGTGTAGCTGAATATAATAATTAGGTTAATGCCAGTGATTGTCAGTGTTTGTATTCTTTCTATAAAAAAAATAAAGTATTTCAATGAAAATCCAGAATCAACATTACGAATTATAGTTATTACATTCTTTCCAAAATCTTGTTAAAGTATAAGAATCTCAGAATAAATGGCTGCTACTAACAATACATGGATGACTATATTAAGATATTTGTACTGAACTGAATTTGGCTCAGAGAAACAGGTTTGTGGAGTGAAATGTTTCCAGTCATGCTCACCGCGGTCCAGTAGGTGGCGGTAACGCTCCGTATAAACGGTATGAAGCAACAGAAGAAGAAGAAGAAGCTGTCTAATGGACAGATTGCATCCCCCACAGCGGCCGTGGGAGCGCCGTGGGTCGTGTTTTAGGGGGTTTTAGGTTTCGAACCGGAGCTGGGAGAGAAAACATCACAGGAAGATGGAAAATGTGTGACTTCCGAGCGGAAGCCCAACAGGAAGAGACGTGAATTTAAACAGAATCCCGAAATGGAGGCTGAGAGCTGCAGAAACTCGGTCTGTTTAAAGTCTCGCCTCAAATATATGCAGCTTAATTTAAGGTTTTATTTAGGATTCATTTAGTTCATTATGAAGATAAACTCAACCAGTGTTTGTAGCCTAGCTAGCTAGCTAGCATCTTTAGCTTAGCTGCTTGAAGCCACGTGTTGTAAAGTGTTGGAGCCCCGATAAATGATCCAGATCAATGAAACAGTTCTGCTTTAAATCAACCCTGTCTGCAGATCAGGAGCTAAATGTACCGTATCAGTAGTATATCAGTGTGTGTGTATATCAGTGTGTGTATATCAGTGTGTGTATATCAGTGTGTGTGTATATCAGTGTGTGTGGATCAGTGTGTGTATCAGTGTGTGTGTCTCAGTGTAGGAGTGTATATCAGTGTGTGTGTGGATCAGTGTGTGTGTGTCTCAGTGTTAGTGTGTTTATCAGTGTGTGTTTATCAGTGTGTGTGTGTCTCAGTGTAGTGTGTGTATCAGTGTGTTAGTGTGTTTATCAGTGTGTGTGTGTATCAGTGTAGTGTGTTTATCTGTGTGTGTGTATCAGTGTGTGTGTGTCTCAGTGTAGGTGTGTGTATCAGTGTTAGTGTGTTTATCAGTGTGTGTGTGTATCAGTGTGTGTGTCTCAGTGTAGGTGTGTATCAGTGTAGTGTGTTTATCAGTGTGTGTGTGTATCAGTGTGTGTGTGTATCAGTGTAGGTGTGTGTATCAGTGTTAGTGTGTTTATCAGTGTGTGTGTGTATCAGTGTGTGTGTGTCTCAGTGTAGGTGTGTGTATCAGTGTGTTAGTGTTTATCAGTGTGTGTGTGTGTATCTTTAACAAAAGGTTATTTGCTTCTTTGTTGCTCCATCCTATTTATGTGGGGACTTGTGTCGTTCTGCACCAACCCCTTTACTCTGTCATACAAATCAAGGTTCCCTCTTTGTTTGCTAAGAACAACATGGCAGCACCACTTTGAATTGTCAAAGACAGAGGAGCAACTTAACACATTAAGAGACAAAAATGACATATTTTAAAGCTGATCATGCAACAATATGGCTGCAGCTGTTGATAGCTCATTAAATAGTATGACTTAATTTAGTAATTGGTGCAACTGTTAGGAAGCTGCAGATGTTCCTTCATGTTCCTAAATGCCTGTTTGACCGCTTGGATGCCGTTTGATCCTGACTGCTGATTACAGCTGGATTGGAAGATTGTTATTTTTTTATTATTGCTTTCTCCAGAGGTCAGACATCTTTACCAACCAAAGAGCCGTTTTAACCTTATTCCTTCAAAAATAACTTTGTCTCAACAAGAAAACTAATGTGACTCTGCAGAAAAAAAACTTTATATTTCAGAAAACATTTTATGATCATAGAGCCATAATTTTATTTATGCATTTTCTGTATACCAGATTATGATCTTCCACTGTTACCTGCAGACTTTCAGCAGGTGCTGCTGGTTAAGGAAGAGCTTCCTGAAGGACGGAGTCCTGGTGTGGACCTGCCGGATCCAGAGTCACTCCAGATCAAGGAGGACCAGGAGGATCACTGGTCCAGTATGAAGGAGGAGACTGATGCCAGCTGGTTTCCAGTAACCACAGTCATCAGGAAGCCTGAGGAAGACGAGGAAGCGAATCCTGTTTCCTCACAGCAAACGGGGAACGCAGATATTCCAGTCAGCTATTCAGTTGGCCTAAGGAAGTTAGAAAGTGAGGGAGAGGACTGTAGGAAGCTGGATTGTAGTGCAGATGAAAGTTCTTCAGATACGGATGTCAGTAGGATAATGTGGGAAATTTGAACGGTTCTGATTCTCAGCTGGAAGGTTTTTCTTTTAGGTGTTTGGTTAACAGAAAATATACAATGAAGAAGAATTTGAAATTAAGGGATTCCCAAATGGATCTGAAATGTTTTATCTGTAATGAATGTGGCAAGAGCTTTCTGAGGGAAAATCTTCTTAAAATACATGTGAGAATCCATACAGGGGAGAAACCATTTAGTTGTGAACTTTGTGGGCAAAGATTTATACAAAAATCCAACTTGAACAGGCACATGAGATTCCACACAGGAGAGAAACCATTTTGGTGTCATCTCTGTGGACAGACCTTTAGTTGGAAGTCCAGTTTAGACTGTCACATGAGAATCCACACAGGAGAGAAACCATTCAGTTGTGATTTCTGTGGACAAACATTTGGTGAGAAATCGGTTCTAAACACTCACATGAGGATTCACACTGGAGACAAACCTTTTAGCTGTGATGTTTGTGAACAAAGATTTAACCAAAGCTCACATCTAAAAAGGCACATGAGAATCCACACTGGAGAGAAACCATATTGCTGTGAGGTCTGTGGGCAACGATTTGGTGATAAATCAGTGCTAAATATTCACATGGGAAACCATACAGGAGACAAACCATTTGGTTGTCATGTTTGTGGACAGCGATTTAGTCGTAAGTGTATTTTAGACAGTCACATGAGAATCCACACAGGAGACAAACCTTTTAACTGTGATCTTTGTGGGAAAAGATTTAGCCACAAGTCAGCTGTGAACATCCACAGGAGAATCCATACAGGTGAAAACACATTTTGTTGTCAAACATGTGGAAAAAAATTTAGTCGCAAGTCAGGTTTAGAGAGTCACATGAGAATCCACACTGGAGAACAACCTTTCAGATGTGATGTTTGTGGACAAAAATGCAACGAAAGAGCACATTTAAAAAAGCACATGGGAATCCACACAGGAGAAAAACCATTTGGTTGTGATGTCTGTGGAAAAAACTTTAGAGATAAATGGCATTTCAAGAGTCACATGAGGGTCCACACAGGAGAGAAACCATTTAGTTGTGATATTTGTGGAAAGGGATTTAATGATAAATCAGATTCCAATAATCACATGAAAATCCACACAGGAGAAAAACCATTTGCTTGTGAGCTTTGTGGACAAAGATTTAGACGAAAACCCTGTTTGAACATTCACATGAGAATCCACACTGGAGAAAAACCTTTTGGTTGTGATTTTTGTGGGAAAACATTTAGTCAAAAATCCTATTTAAAAATTCACATGAGAATTCACACAGGAGACAAACCATTCAGTTGTGACGTTTGTGGGAAAAAATTTAACAGCAAGTCAAATTTAAAAAGTCACATGAAGATTCACACAGGAGCAGAAACTGTTCACATGTGAATATTAAGACATCTTGATGTGAACTACTTGAAAGACTGCAAAGGTGTTTCTAAAATCCATTTTCCTAGTAAGAATTGAAGTGTTTGTGTTAAGCTGATGTTCATTTACTGAGCCGACATGAAGCCTGGTTTTGCAGCTGCAGGTTTGACGGCCTGTGAGCTCAAAGGGGTTTGCAGCTGCTGCACACACATTGGGTTTATTTTTTTAAAACAATGTTTTTACATTGACCATCTTTATGAATATTTCCAAGATTTCATGAAAAAAAAAAACAGAAAATTGCATTCTGGATGTTGTGGTCCATTCTAAAAGACTTGTTTTTGTGATTCATGTGTTTGCCATATATTTGCAAGGTCAGGGGTCAGTTTAGGCACTTAAGGCACAATTACATCATGAGACAAACTAACACTTTTTGTGGTTGTTGGTTTTGATTTTTGTCAACATTTAAAAAAATATTTTAAAAGAACTATTGATACTCAATGCAGCACAAGATGAGAGTGGAGTGTGTTGGTTCATAGATATTTTTGGCCAAAGGAGAATTAATCTAAGGTCAAATTGAACATTTCAACATAATTGTTCCTTTAAACACCCAGATTTCTAAAACAGGTGTGACGTGTCAGGTTTACTTTGGTGAGTTCAGTGAGAAAATTATGAACCCAAAAGTTACCTACAGACGAGTTTGAGTAACAAATGTTTTTATGACAAGAAAAGAACTCATTTAAATTTAGCTCGCCTCAGTTTTTAGCCAGAACTGAACTTCTGTCAATCAATCCTGTGAATTCATTACAAAATGAAGTAAGAAAATCACTAGAAGATGTTTCTGCTAATTCACTCATGTTTTATAATTATTTACTAAAGAAATATTTTGAAGAAAACCTGAAAATATCAGTGATTTTCTGGTTTCTCAGGTTAAAATGCAGCTGAAACTGAGAACATTTGGACTCATGAGGAAACCAATCCAGCACCACCTGTGCCATCATGTTAACACAATTAAGATTTTAAATCAACAGTAACCAATTCCTGTTTCAGTGCCTGAAAAATTTCTGTCCTTCCAGGACTGTCCTTTGTTTTCATAAAGAATAAAATTAGAGCCTGAAAAGTTTTAGTTTGGACCTGATCAGAGGTTCTGGTGCTGCAGAGCTCAGATTGCTCAAACGGGTGATAAATGGGATTTTGTGTGTAATTTGTGAAGGTTTTAGAGTTGATGCAGTTGAGAGAAACATGAGAACTTGGCATGTTTAACCACAAGAGGGCAGCAGAGTTCTGAGTGATCATCAGTAACAGAAGCAGCCGAAGTTTAATTTATACAGCAGATTTTATTAAAACCCCAAAATTATTAAACCTTTTCCTGAAGGTAAATGAAATGCACAGCTCTGTTGACGTGGTTTGAACTGAATCCGTTCATTTCTGTTTGATTCTAAGACTTTATCGACTTTCGCAGGAGAGAAGAACTTAGGTGTTGTGTGTCAGTTGGTCGCCGAGGCGCCCAGAGCCCAGGATGTCCTGGTTTCAAACCATTATGATTGGAACTGAATGAAAATAAAAGAATATAAACACTAAGATGTTTTTAATGTTTCTGTTCTTCAATCCTGTGAATTCATTACATTTTATACAGCAATAAATGCCAAAATGCTCCTTAGATAAAGATCAAATTGTTCTAATTTCTCATTTCTTGATCTAAAATATTCATATGCATGTTATGGATTAAGACAGACAATCTGTGGAAACATCGGTCCCTTTGGGTTGCTATTGTAGCCTGAACAACAATCAGTTAGAGCCAGGAGGAGGGACATACTGCTGTCAATCACTTCATGTAGTCGCTGCTAAATGTGGTAATGGCAGATAGATTAACAGCACTAAGTCCCTCCTGGCTTTGATTGGTTATTATACTTTCATAACATGCTGACAGTTTCAACAAATGTGTAAAAAAAAGTATTAAAAGTTGCATAATGTGGCTGTAACTGAGGATTACAGCAGAAACTGGGTCCGGTAGCGTTAACATGGTGACAGGGTTTCTGGTCCTGGCCGGTCAGAGCAGAACAAACAGAGACGAGGGAACCGGTTCTTTCAGTGCTCGTTTATTGGATCATGGCATGGATGGAAGAAAACAGAACCACCGACCCGTCAGGCCGACCCAGACACGGGACTCACAGAACCTCTGGTCATAATGGACTTTTCATGTTCAAGTGCAATAATATTCATAACTGTCCTCAGATGCTGCTGAGCGCGCGGCGCTGCACCTTCACCTGCAGAGATCCACTTCCTGTCTGCGTCACCCTGCAGAGATCCACTTCCTGCATGCGTCACCCTGCAGCGGACCACTTCCTGTCTGCAGCAGACCGACAGGAAGTTTGTCTCGCCAGTCAAACATCCACATTCAGAAACGTTTTCGGATCAGGTTCCTTCCAAGCAGAGGTTCACGGGCCGACTGCAGGTCAGGAAATGCTAAATGTCGGGTCTGGTGATTTTTGTCACATAAATAGAGGGATTCATAACATGGAGGATGTTTTGGTTCTTATTTTTACTTTTTCTTCAACATTTGTTCCTAACGTTTGCTTGATGAAAATATGTCGGTCTGTTTAGAAGCTGTTTGATTTGAATCTGATTTTGTGCTGGTTGCTCTCAGCGGCATCAGAACCTGCTGTTCATACGGAGAAGCAAAAAGACACTAAATGGAGATTTAAAAATGGTTCTAACAACAAAAACTATTTATGAGCATTTGCTTCAAAATTCAGCTGCAGGAGTTTTTTACCTCAGCTAAACATAAAGAAAATCGAACATTTACATTAAGAGGATTATCAATAGTTTCTGCATAGCAAAAGTAGCTTTAAAGACATTTAAAGCTACTTTTGACCAAAGATGATTTGAGTCAGATATTCCATCATTCAGGAGGTGATAATTAGTACGAATGATTTGTTAAGGTGATAAACATCTAAACTATGGATGAACCAACAGATCGATGATCTGATTGATCAGCCGCCGCGCCGCAGGGAGGCTCCGCCCAGGTCCAGTCTGAACATTGGTTCATTACAGGGACGCCGCTGCTGCCAACTCAGCAAATTAACATCGCAGGCAAAAAAATATCGGCCAAAATCGGTTCATCGAAACTCAGATGAAAGTGAAACGATCGAGATAAAACTGCGACCTGACGGTCCCGCAGACAGGATGTGTGTCGTCTTCAGGGCGGACACGTGAGTGAGTCTGAACCAGGACCGCTGGTCCGGGTCGGTCCGGTTCAGTCCAATCCGGTCCGGTTCAGTCCAATCCGGTCCGGTCGGCCTCCACCTGAACTGGACCTCAGAACTGTTTTTGCATAGACATCAATTCAAGTCAGACTCATGCAGACAGAGGAGGAACGACAGAAACGATGAAGAGGAAGAAGAAAGAAGTGATGAGACTTTATAAAAATAAGTGAGCTTGTTAATCATCATCATCATCAGTAGTTATTAATGCAAACAGAAAGTTTATGAAACAGTTCAACCGGAAGCTGCTCAGTATTGCTTTGATCCCCAGACGCTGCAGCCTGGTGTGTGTGAGTGTGTGTGTGTGTGTGTATGTAGGCGTGTGTGTGTGTGTGCGTGTGTGTGTGTGAGTGTGTGTGTGTGTTGGGGCGTGTGTGTGTGTGTAGGCGTGTGTGTGTGTGTGTGTGTGTGTGTAGGCGTGTGTGTGTGTGTGTGTGTGTGTGTAGGGGTGTGTGTGTGTGTAGGCGTGTGTGTGTGTGTGTGTAGGCGTGTGTGTGTGTGTGTGTGTGTGTGTGTTGGGTGTGTGTGTGTTGGGGTGTGTGTGTGTGTGTAGGCGTGTGTGTGTGTAGGCGTGTGTGTGTGTGTAGGCGTGTGTGTGTGTGTGTAGGCGTGTGTGTGTGTGTAGGCGTGTGTGTGTGTGTGTGTGTGTGTGTGTGTGTGTGTGTGTGTGTGTGTGTTAGTGAGGCCAAGCAGACATGCAGCAGCAGCGAGGATCCAGAGAAACGTTCCTCAGTTCACCCGGAAAAATGAATAAATTAAAGAAAAAATCAAAGACAGAGAATCTGCTGCAGAACTAGAATAAGGAGAATAAAATCAAAATGTTTTGGATCATTAAATATCCTCTAACGGAAAGTTTTGTTGAAGCTGTTGCTCCTGCTTACTTCTATATTTTTAATAAAAGCTTGTTGGCACTGATGTTTCTCTCTACTGACGTTTATCTGGCTGCTGTTTGTGGAAGAATCTGTTTTATTAGGAAGTTTAAAAAGTAAAAGTCTCAAACTGCAGCTTCAGGATGAAACTTGTTTTGAGTCTCTGTTTAATCTGAATTCAAATAATTCACCAAATTATTGAAAAGATGTTTTTTTAATCAAAGTTTTGATCATTTTGGCTTTCCGTACTTTCAGATCCCGCTCCCTCCTGCTGCCTTTGCTCAGCAGGAATTTTTATTTTCACTCTTCAGGTTAAAATCATGTATGTTGTCATTAGCAGCCATTTTTAATTGCTTCTGAGAAGTTAAATGCCATAAATCTCATTCTTGTTTGTTTTTTATCCATAATAATCCTCCTAACTGCTGATCAATCTACTTGCTGTTCATTATTTTGGGTCGCTGTGTTGCCGTAGTTCTACTTGTTCTAGTTCTGTCCAGAATCAGAGGAAGGATTTCAGAACGTCGTCGGGTTCGGTTCTGATGTCCAGTCGGATTAAACAAGTAGAAACACAAACTTAGACAATTATCAATGTTACAGTGAAAAAGTTAATTGGTTCACACACTTAAAAAACAAAACACAGTTTTACAGTCATATTGGAAACAGAATTTCATCTAAAGCTGTAAAGCTGTAATACTTCTCTTAATAAGTTAAAAAATAATTTAAATCAACTTGAATTAATTGAAAGAAAAAGGACTTAAAAAATCTTTACAAGAAAACCCAACGACACACGAAGCAGGAAGTAAATTTACATCGTATACAAAGTCAGCTCAGTGTTAGTGATCAGTGATATAAACTCTGAGGGAATATTTCATAACGGTTAATAATAAATATAGGAGTATACAGTGTGACACAGACAGAAGGAGAGCTGGAAAGTCTTTATGGCTTTTACAGGCTGCAGGCAGCAGCCGCCGCCTCCGGACTCTGAGCTGCTGGAGAAACCAGAGAGAAGCTCCACTGTGTGGGATTGTTGGAAAATGAAACGATGCAGATTCTGACATGTCAGCAGAAAACAGCAAATAAAGCAGCAGCTTGTTGGAGCCCCAGATCAGCATCCACAGCTGCTGATAAAACAACTAAAAAGATGATAATTCATATTGATTTTATGTAGCCCCCTTAAACAACTTCCTCCAGTTTCAGATTTCAATATGGCTGCCAAACGATAGTGGGCGGAGCCGACCGATAAAAACATGGATTCACCATCAAAGCCTGAACCGCCTGAAGCTTCTCAACCTCCAACATGGCTGCTGACTTATGAAACATAATTCATCTCTTTTATGATTGGACTACAGACAGACTAACATTTTACTGGTTTTTTGTGTAAACTGAAGCGTTGTAAGAGGAAAAGTTCAAACTGGCAGAAAGTGGTGCAGATAAACTGTTTTAAGGCAGAAACTTTCTTTACTACGTTTATTCCTGCAGTTTGAAGAGAGTTTGGTTCTCTTCTGCCACCTTGTGGTGACAGTGAGATACTGTGATTAACCCTTTATGCTTTTGGTAAAGTTTGAATCTCGTGACGATCAGTTTAATGAAGGATGTATGGCTCTGACAGAATCGATTCTTGATGCTGCAGTAACTAAAATCGTGTCGTTGTTTTCCTTCTTCTTGTCACAACCCGTATACAGAATGTCCAGAAGCCGGACGGACGGACGGTTGGAGGACCCTGACCTCCCGCTGCTCGGTTCTGGTCCGATGTGGGAGGAAAAAGTCCCTCTGATGGTTTCTGTTGATTTTCTCCCAGTAACAAGGAAAATAAAATGAGGTTTTTCATCTTGTTGATCATTATTTCCTCCTCTGCATTGAGGGCTGTGTCCATCCTGTCCATCCTGTCCATCCTGTGTGAAATGGACCCTTTACCCAGAAACATTACCGTCTCTGACTGACGTGGAAAACAGCTGGCATTTAAACAACAGCATCAACACAATAAATAACGGTCAGCGCCTGGTTTCAAACCAGACTTTGCTGAAAGTGGAGAGCAGAATGTCGACCCGGTTCTTCCTCATCATGGCGGGGCGTTGAATCAGGGTGGATGAACCACGGAGAGGCGGGGACGCACTCATGGACCCTGAGAGGTAACCGCTGCAGCTACTTGGTGATTGTCAGATTTAAAGGATCCTTCTGATCATCAGTGAAGATGATCAGCAGGTTCAGCTGGTTTAACTCTGAAACTATGACGACCGTTTTAAATCTGCTTCGCTTCACCTTCACTGATCGCTGTTGGCTTCACAGAATCGGTATTATTTTAGATAAATCATGCATGTTCCAAGAATCCCACAGTGATCTTTGCTAGCAGTCAGGGGAAGAGAGAGAGATGGAAACAGGAAGTGACAGAGTTCAGAGGCCCTTGCAGTTTGAAGAGCAGCCCAGAAGCCACCGCAGAGACGGCCGTCCTCCTTCATCAGTACGGAGAAAACTTCTGTCTCTCCGGCTTCTTCATCCCGTTGGCGGACGATGAGATCTTGGCCGTGTAGGACGCCAGCGCGGCCGCCGCGTGAGCCGGGACGGGAACCGCCGCCGTGGCCGCCGTCTGCACCGAGCTCGGGAGCACCGGCGCGCCGATGGCGGCCGCCGCCGCTGCTGCTGCTGCGGAGGCGGGAGGGGTGGACAGTGCCAGGTAGGGGATGGATTTCACTCCCAGGAGGCTGGAGAGGGGAAGGGCATAGGGGGCGCCCAGGATCGGAGCGTGGGGCAGTGCAGCACCCATCGCTGCCAGGGGGGAGGAGGAGGAAGACGAGGCGGAGGCGGGGGGGGCGGGCTGGGTGAAGCTCATGGTCAGGTCAACGGGAGACGACATGGAGGAGGACTGGGCGGTGGATTTGGCGGTCTCTAAACTGGAGGAGGGAGGGTGGAGGGAGCACAGGGGTCAGGAGGAGGGGTCGGATGGAGAAGGGTTAGAGGGTCAAATAAAAGACATGTTAAAAAAAACGAGTAAAAACTGAATGTGAACCAAAACGGAACCAAACAGGATTTTTTTGGAGAGAAAAATGAAAAACTGACAGAACAGAAAATCAGAAGACAGGTGTGTTTTGCTGGAGGTTGCAACAGATTATTGTAGGGGTTCGCTGTACGGATGGGGGTGTGCTGTATAAGTCGGGGTGATGGGAGGGGGCTTAGGGAGGAGGAAACAAAACCATCACAGACACGTTAGCAGGGCAGCTCCGTCACACATGATGCAGAAACGTTTCGCTGCAGATCCGAGAAAATTCCCTGCAGAAACTCACAGCTTACCCTGGAAAAGGAGGAACGATGAAAAGAGCAAACAAGGCGGTTCAGACTGAGCTCTGGGTCGGGTTTTTAGTTCAAACAGAACCAAACCGATACCCATAGACAGAGTTGGGGCCAACGTCCGTCTGTCCTCCGTCTGTCCTCCGTCTGTCCCCACTAACCAGTGGCCGCCTGTCCATCAGTCACTGGACCAGCCGACAGTCCGTCACAAGCAACCGACCAACAACCATCCACTCACCAACACATGGTGTCTACAGACTGTCTGTCCAGAGAAACTGGACGACCTGGAAAGAACCAACATTTCAGACTTCCAAAATGATTTTTGTCCCAATTTTCTCCTTCGTCCTGATTATCTGGATGGCTTGAAAAATATTATTAATAAACGTCTAAAAGAGTTTCTGACCTAAAAAAGGTCAGTAAGTTTAGTCTTGGCTGCTAATTTTGGGTGAAGCTAATTGGAAAGAGAGGCAACAAAAACATGGCACTGGATCCGACATGCAGAAAACTGAACAAGTGGCACGGCGGCCCTGATGGACTCAAACGTCGCTCCTTCCTGTCGGCCATGTTTTGTTTCATTCAGTCCTGAGAGGTTTAGCAGGATTTCCCGTCTGAATGTTGCGGGTTTCAGCTCCAAGTCTGATGATCTCAGCTTGTGAAAATTCGCTGACAATTTTGAAATATTTCCGTGTGAATCGGACGTCATCAGACTGATGATGTCAGCATGAGGTCATCGAGCGAACCGTGGGGTGAAGGAAAGCTCAGACAGATCGTCTCATCTGACTCAATCTGACTGGAATAAATAATAAACAGTTTGACCTTCTGACCCCTTCAGGAACAAACGTCTGTCTTTTGTTCTCTCCATCTCTCCCTCCGACATGCAGCAGATATTTGCATGATGCAAACTGGAACATAAATGTTGTTAATGACAAACCTTTGAACCGGCTTATTTCTGTTTCTGCTATTGCTGTAGCTGCATGAGGAAGGAACCTGAAACAGCCGACTAGTGAAAGCTGAGTCTGATTTTTGATTCCCGGCGTTGAGCTCAGTTCATCTGTACAATAATGCAACACATGGTGCCTTGCTAAAGTATTCGGCCTCCTTGAACTTTTCAACCTTTTGCTGATTTTCAGGCTTCAAACACAAAGATCTAAATTTTTATTATTGTGGAACAAAATTTATTGGATATTTGAAACGTTTTTAACAAATAAAAACTGCAAAGTGGGGCATGTGATATTATTTGGTCCCTTTACTTTCAGTGCATCAAACTCACTGCAGAAGTTCAGTGAGAATCTCTGAATGGTCCAACGTTGTCCTAAATGACTGATGATGATAAATATAATCCACCTGTGTGTCATAAATGCATCTGCTCTGGGAGGATCTCAGATTGTGTTTAAAGCACTCAGAGCATCATGAAGACCACAGAACACCAGGCAGGTCCGATACTGCTGGACAATATGGAAAAGAAAAGATTTCCCAAACATCAACCAAAGACCCGGAAGTCTCTCTAAGCTTTCCTCTGGAACCAGGAGGAGAAAGATCAGAGATGCAGCCAAGAGGTCCAGGATCTCTCTGGATCTACAGGGATCACTCTGGATCTTCAGGGATCTCCAGGGATCTCTCTGGATCTACAGGGATCTCTCTGGATCAACAGGGATCTACAGGGATCTCTCTGGATCAACAGGGATCTACAGGGATCACTCTGGATCTACAGGGATCTCTCTGGATCTACAGGGATCACTCTGGATCAACAGGGATCACTCTGGATCTACAGTGATCTCTCTGGATCTTCAGGGATCACTCTGGATCTTCAGGGATCTCCAGGATCTCTCTGGATCAACAGGGATCTACAGGGATCACTCTGGATCTACAGGGATCTCTCTGGATCTACAGAGATCCATCTGGATCAACAGGGATCACTCTGGATCTACAGGGATCTCTCCAGATCTACAGGGATCTCTCTGGATCTACAGGGATCTCCAGGGATCTCTCTGGATCAACAGGGATCTACAGGGATCACTCTGGATCTACAGGGATCTACAGGGATCTACAGGGATCTCTCTGGATCTACAGGGATCTGCAGGGATCTGCAGCTGAGGGAGAGTCTGTCCACAGGTCAGCGGCACAAACCTGGACTTTCCCAAAGAGATCCATGAAAAATCTGCTTTAAAGTTCCAAACATGCAGGAAGGAGCTCTGGTCAGATATGTTTCCATAAACACAATGCAGCCCTGAACACAACATTCCCACTGTGAACATGGTGGTGGCAGCATCATGGTTTGGGCCTGCTTTTCAGAACCACTCTGCTGAGTCTTAAAGACCTAAGACTGGGAGGAAGATTTACCTCCCAACAAGACAAAGATCCCAAACATAAAGCAAAATGGTTCACAAATAAACGCATCCAGGTGTTACAATGGCCTAGTCAAAGTCCAGGCCTGAATCCAATGGAGAAGCTGCTGTTCACAAGCGACTCCATCCAACCGCACTGAGCTCCAGCTGGTTTAAGGAAGAACAGACAAAACCAAGAGACTTGCAGCTGTAATCACAGCAAAAGGTGGCGCTATAGAGTATCAATGCAAGGGGCCAAAATATATTGCAGCTTTTTATTTGTTAAAAAAGTTTAAAATATCCAATAAATTTCGTTCCGCCTCTCGATTGTTGTTGATTCGTCAAATCAGAAACATTTTAGATCTTTATGTTCAAAGCCTGAAAAGCAGCAAAAGGTTGAAAAGCCTTGATTCGGCCCCCAGGGAGAATCCAGGGGCCCAAGGGAGAATCCAGGGGCCCAAGGGAGAATCCAGGGCCCAAGGGAGAATCCAGGGGCCCAAGGAGAATCCAGGGGCCAAGGGAGAATCCAGGGGCCCAAGGGAGAATCCAGGGGCCCCAGGGAGAATCCAGGGACCCCAATATTTTGTGAAGGAACATGTGAAGGAACATGTGAAGGAACATGTGAAGGAACATGTGAAGCGATGACAGAACAGACGTCGGTCCGGTTCCACTGCCAAAGTCACAAAGTGCTTTTGGCCTGGAGGAAACCTCCCAACGCTTCTGTTCTGGTGAAGTCTTCAAACTGAACTGGTTTTGGGCCAGGGCTCCCAGTCTGAGAGTTTCTGTCCTGCTGATTCTTACCATGAGGTGATTAAGTACTGAGCCAGGTTGATGGCGATCGGCGTGCCGGTGATGGTCACATGGCGGTCGCTGCTGCTGTCGATCTGACTGCCGATCTTGATCTGAGCCCCAGACACCTGCCGGATCTCGTTTATTTTGGTTCCCTGGCGACCGATGATTGATCCAATCAGCTGTGAGGAAGAGGAGACAAAGAAGATGAAGATCAGAGCTGAAGGGGAAATGTTCACAGAAACATTCTGGGATTGGTGGATTTCATTCACAGAACTTCAGGTGTGTTTCTGGTGCTCTGCTCCTCAGTAGAAAGTGAACCAGCAGGTCTGATGGGTTTAAGCTCCAGCAGGAGAGGAAATCTTCAAGAGAGGAACCGACTTTAAATCCGGCTCTGAAGAGACTCTGTGAATCATTCTTAGAGCAGAGAGAGCAAAAAGCTTCAGAGAGTCTCTGCAGTCTGCACTCTGAGAAACTCAAACTCTTCTGTCTGGACCATCAGCAGCCAGTTTGTCTCGTCTGCAGAGATTCAGAAAAACACATCAAGCACAGATTCAGAGCCATCGATGAAGCTGCTCAGGATCACAGAGAGAATCTGAAAACATCTCTGGAGCCTTTAAAGAAGAAACTGGAGCAGAAGAAGGAAGTTAAAGAGGAGTTTGATCAGACAGCAGAACACATGAAGGTCCAGGCCCGACACACAGAGAGGCAGATTGTTGAGCAGTTTAAGAAGCTTCATCAGTTTCTAGCAGAGGAAGAGGAGGCCAGGCTGGCTGCACTGAGGGAGGAAGAGGAGCAGAAGAGATGATGGAGGAGAAGATGGAGGCTCTGAGCAGAGAGATAGCAGCTCTTTCAGACACAGTCAGAGCCACAGAGGAGGAGCTGAGAGCTGAAGACGTCTCATTCCTGCACAACTACAAGGCTGCAGTGGAAAGAGTCCAGCGCTGCCCCCTGCTGGAGGATCCACAGCTGCCCTCAGGAGCTCTGATAGACCAGGCCAAACATCTGGGCAACCTGGCCTTCAACATCTGGAGCAACATGAAGGACATGGTGACCTACACTCCTCTGGTTCTGGACCCAAACACGGCGAATCCAGAACTCCTGCTGTCTGAAGATCTGAGCGTTGTGACAGCAGGACGGAGGCAGCAGCTGCCTGATAATCCGGAGCGGTTGGACGTTTGGTGGTCCGTTCTCGGCTCTCAGGGTTTTAACTCCGGGATCCACAGCTGGGATGTTGATGTTGGAGACAGTGAGGTTTGTTAGCAGAATCTGACCAGAGGAGGCGAAACTGACAGTCTGGATTGTTGGTTCATATGACAGTAAATACTCAGCAGGATCTCCACCTGCTGCTCCCAGAGATCTATCAGTCCAGAAAAAGATCCACAGGATTCGAGTGAATCTGGACTGGGATGGAGGAAAACAATAAAGTCATTGCATAATTTTATTGTTTCTCTTGTTATTTGTTCAGTTTTGGTTTAACTTTAGTTATTTTAGTAGTTTGTTAGTTTTCAGGATCCTTTAATCAGCAGTTCAGTGGAGAGATAGTAGCTTAGTGAGTTTGTTGATTAAAGTATTTACCTGTAAACTGAAATTATTTTTGTTAATAAATTTGTATGTTTTAGAGAGACATTGTTTTCATTCCTTCCATGTTTTGCTGTTTGAAAACAAAAACAGATTTATTTGTTCATCTATTGTTATTTTAAGCTTTAAGGTGTTAAAACCTGAAGGTTCTCAAACAATAACTGAAATGTTTGGCTGATATTTGGATCTAAATGACTAATTGTGTTAATAATTTCCTTTTGCATGTATGAACAGTTATTAGTGGCTAAACCTTTGGTTGGACAACATACAAATAGAATCGCATCACATAGACATTTAAATCGACACGATTAGATTCAGTTGCTTGGTTCAGTCTGATGCAGCAATTCCTCCTACTGAGGAAGCATGTGGAGACAGGAGGGAGGAAGCATGTGGAGACAGGAGGGAGGAAGCATGTGGAGACAGTGGGGAGGAAGCATGTGGAGACAGTGCGGAGGAAGCATGTGGAGACAGTGCGGAGGAAGCATGTGGAGACAGTGGAGGAAGCATGTGGAGACAGTGGGGAGGAAGCATGTGGAGACAGTGGGGAGGAAGCATGTGGAGACAGTGCGGAGGAAGCATGTGGAGACAGTGGGGAGGAAGCATGTGGAGACAGTGGGGAGGAAGCATGTGGAGACAGTGGGGAGGAAGCATGTGGAGACAGTGCGGAGGAAGCATGTGGAGACAGTGGGGAGGAAGCATGTGGAGACAGTGGGGAGGAAGCATGTGGAGACAGTGCGGAGGAAGCATGTGGAGACAGTAGGGAGGAAGCATGTGGAGACAGTGGGGAGGAAGCATGTGGAGACAGTGGGGAGGAAGCATGTGGAGACAGTGCGGAGGAAGCATGTGGAGACAGTGGGGAGGAAGCATGTGGAGACAGTGGGGAGGAAGCATGTGGAGACAGTGCGGAGGAAGCATGTGGAGACAGTGGGGAGGAAGCATGTGGAGACAGTGCGGAGGAAGCATGTGGAGACAGTAGGGAGGAAGCATGTGGAGACAGTGCGGAGGAAGCATGTGGAGACAGTAGGGAGGAAGCATGTGGAGACAGTGGGGAGGAAGCATGTGGAGACAGTGGGGAGGAAGCATGTGGAGACAGTGGGGAGGAAGCATGTGGAGACAGTGGGGAGGAAGCATGTGGAGACAGTGGGGAGGAAGCATGTGGAGACAGTGGGGAGAAAGCATGTGGAGACAGTAGGGAGGAAGCATGTGGAGACAGTGGGGAGGAAGCATGTGGAGACAGTGGGGAGGAAGCATGTGGAGACAGTGGGGAGGAAGCATGTGGAGACAGTGGGGAGGAAGCATGTGGAGACAGTGCGGAGGAAGCATGTGGAGACAGGGGGAGGAAGCATGTGGAGACAGTGGGGAGAAAGCATGTGGAGACAGTAGGGAGGAAGCATGTGGAGACAGTGGGAGGAAGCATGTGGAGACAGTGGGGAGGAAGCATGTGGAGACAGTGGGGAGGAAGCATGTGGAGACAGTGGGGAGGAAGCATGTGGAGACAGTGGGGAGGAAGCATGTGGAGACAGGAGGGAGGAAGCATGTGGAGACAGGAGGGAGGAAGCATGTGGAGACAGTGGGGAGGAAGCATGTGGAGACAGTGGGGAGGAAGCATGTGGAGACAGTGGGGAGGAAGCATGTGGAGACAGTGGGGAGAAAGCATGTGGAGACAGTAGGGAGGAAGCATGTGGAGACAGTGGGGAGGAAGCATGTGGAGACAGTGGGGAGGAAGCATGTGGAGACAGTGGGGAGGAAGCATGTGGAGACAGTGGGGAGGAAGCATGTGGAGACAGTGCGGAGGAAGCATGTGGAGACAGTGGGGAGGAAGCATGTGGAGACAGTGGGGAGAAAGCATGTGGAGACAGTAGGGAGGAAGCATGTGGAGACAGTGGGGAGGAAGCATGTGGAGACAGTGGGGAGGAAGCATGTGGAGACAGTGGGGAGGAAGCATGTGGAGACAGTGGGGAGGAAGCATGTGGAGACAGTGGGGAGGAAGCATGTGGAGACAGTAGGGAGGAAGCATGTGGAGACAGGAGGGAGGAAGCATGTGGAGACAGGAGGGAGGAAGCATGTGGAGACAGTGGGGAGGAAGCATGTGGAGACAGTGGGGAGGAAGCATGTGGAGACAGTGGGGAGGAAGCATGTGGAGACAGTGGGAGGAAACACTCCACCAGGTCTGTTTTCATCAGGAGGTAAAATACTTTTGTCTTAAATTGGAAGGTTTTCTTTCTGGGATTATTTCCTAAACAACATATCTAAACTTTGATAAGCAAGTTTGTCTGAACAAATTATTAATTAATCCCATTTTGAGCTGGATGGTGATATTGCTGTGACTTTGTTTGCTATTTTGTCAGGTTTAATAGAAACATTAAAAACACAGGAAACAGTTTCTGTCTCCTGAAACCAAAGCAGTTCCACCCAACAGCGCCCCCTGCTGGCATTAACTAGAACCAGCCGTGACACAGACAGAGGGGGAAACCGAGCAAAGGCTTCAGCCTGGTTCTGGTTCTCCTCTGAGGTTCGGATGAAATCAGCCTAAAGCAGACGAGGCAGAAGACGCCTGCGGCTATTTTTGGCGACTTCCTGCTGCCCCAGTAATTTAGGAAGGTTTAGTGAAGGAGGAAGAGGAGGAGGGCTGCTAACTGGGAGCTACAGGACGTCATTAAGCCGCTCTGCTCGGCCCTGACTCACAAACAAACCTATCACACACTTCCATGCACGGGAGCTTAGAGCTCTGTGCTCCCTGTTCCTCTCAACCGGAGACATTTTTCTCACATGTGAGCAGGTCTGCATGTTGGATGTGTTTCACTGCAGGAAACGATCCTTTAAAGGTGGAGATTATCCCTTCAGGGAAAACGCTGTGGAAGGATGACCTCTGAAACATCCAGGCTTATGCACATCTGCAGGAACGCATGCCAGTTTACGGCAGTCTGTCTGCAGATTAACTGCCCTCCTCTGGAGTTTTGACTCAAGATAATAAGAGGCAGAAATGAAACAGAGGTGATCATTTAAACTCACTTTTAAAACGGAGCCGAACCTTCTGGTTTCAAAGTTATGTCAGCGTCTGAAGATGAGGCTTAGAAATGTTCAGATCAGCTCAAGTTAATAATAAAATGACAGATTTCTGTTGTTCTGCAACTGGATTTACAAAACGAAGGAATTTCTTTGTGGTTATTTTGTTGTTCAGACAGAAATAAATTGTTTAATTATTTGGTGAATCATAAACTGACCAATTATATCATTTGGCCCTAAATATAACATGACAGTGAAGCTGCAATGAATCTGATCACATGCAGCCTCCAGATGTTACCCAGCGATGTTATTTAACTTAAAATGTTTCGTTTCACATTTATGGAGGAAGAAAAGGAGGAGGAGGAGGAAGAAGAGGAGGAGGAAGAGGAGGAGAAGGAGGAGGAAGAGGAGGAGGAAGGAGGAGGAAGAAGAGGAAGAGGAGGAGGAGGAGGAGGAGGAGGAAGAGGAGGAGGAGGAAGAGGAGGAGAAGGAGGAGGAAGAGGAGGAAGAAGAGGAAGAGGAAGAGGAGGAAGAGGAGGAGGAGGAAAGGAGGAGTAGGAGGAAGAGGAGGAGGAGGAAGAGGAGGAGAAGGAGGAGGAAGAGGAGGAAGAAGAGGAAGAGGAAGAGGAGGAAGAGGAGGAGGAGGAAGAGGAGGAGGAGGAAGAAAAGGAGGAGGAAGAGGAGGAGAAGGAGGAGGAAGAGGAGGAGGAAGGAGAGGAGGAAGAAGAGGAAGAGGAGGAGGAGGAAGAAGAGGAGGAGGAAGAGGAGGAGGAGGAAGAGGAGGAGAAGGAGGAGGAAGGAGGAGGAAGGAGAGGAGGAAGAAGAGGAAGAGGAGGAAGAGGAGGAGGAGGAGGAAGAGGAGGAGGAGGAAGAGGAGGAGAAGGAGGAGGAAGAGGAGGAGGAAGAAGAGGAAGAGGAGGAGGAGGAAGAGGAGGAGAAGGAGGAGGAAGAGGAGGAGGAAGAAGAGGAAGAGGAAGAGGAGGAAGAGGAGGAGGAGGAAGAGGAGGAGTAGGAGGAGGAGGAGGAGGAAGAGGAGGAGGAAGAGGAGGAGAGGAAAGAGGAGGAGGAAGAGGAGGAGTAGGAGGAAGAGGAGGAGGTTTTACTCACATCGTTGGGAATGAGGAGTTCCTGAGTCGTGGTTTGGGAATTTGCTTCCACGGCTCCTGGGGATCAGAAAGAGACGGATCAGAGAGAAGCATCCAGAACTGCAGAGGTTCTGGAATCAGAGCAGGAAAACCCAGAACATGGCGGCTCCAGACCGGGTTCAGAAACCTGATTGAAGTTTGGGAATCTGCTGTGAACAACGTCCCACATTTATTCTGTTTGCTTTGGTTTTCAGCCGACGTTCTGATCAGGTCTGATCATATTTCATGTGACCAGATGGAGGTTTGTTTCTGGAATAGAAGATAAAAGCTGTTGTTTTTGCTCTTCTCCTGTTTCTCTCATCATGTTTTGACTTCTTCCATCTTTCTCCCAAATGTTTCTCATCTCTTGGTGAGTCGGAGCTGTTCTTTATCTGCAGCAGAACATCATCAGATCCGCATCTTTCATCATTTATTCAAACACCTCAGTGCTTCAGAAGCAGCTGAGCATCTGCATGGATTTATGAATCGTCTGTTTGTTCCGTCACACGTTTGATTTCCAGCTCGGTTCCCCAGAAGCAGCGTGAATCCTCCCTGAAGTGGACGGAAACCGAAGCCTTCAGCCGAGAGAGGAGCTCGACAATCGGCCCGTCGGCCCAGCTGGAGGCTTCTGATCACAGCTCTTACACACAGATTAGTATTCAGCATTCGCAGATTACACAACACTGAAATTATTCTCCCGCAGAGAGCAGAGAGGAACAGGAAGGAGTGAGATGAACTCTGGACGTTTCCCCCTAATGGTCCGGTCGACCCAGTTCTACTGGAACCAGAACTCCATCATCTGCTCCATCTCCAGCTGCTGTGGTTCTGAATCCAACCAGCCTGTTCCCCTCCTGGCCTGTGGGGGCGCTGCACCAACAACCACTTCAGGAAACGACAGTAAAACCTCTGAAGACACTGAGAGCAACTTCCTGTTTCAGCAGATGAAACAAGGTCTTTAGTCTTTGGCTGAAGACCAGGAGCCATTTCTGCTGCTAATGCTAGCTAGCATGTTAGCATTGGTTGGATGTACCCAGAATGCCCTGCATTGTAGTTCACTTCCTGCTTTGGAGCGCTCTCTGGTCCGCTTGGCGTTCACATTAAACTGAACCAGACCGAGGTTTGGAGGACCAGAGTTAGCTTAGCATTCACATCTCACCAACTGAACCGGACTTTCAAGACAAACGGACTGAAGTCAGATTGAAGCAAACTGAACATGAGAATGAACAATTATTAATTAGTCAAACGGAGTTTCTACAACAGAGAGAGAGGAAAATGTTCCTTAATCCCAAATAAAACCTGGTTTGTTCTAAAATGTTTGTGGATTTTCAGTGTGGATTTTTAACTCCATTTTTAACTCCATCAGATTTTCACCTGTTCATGTTATTCAGGTTCCATTTTTGTTTCTCCATAAGGAATGTTAACTTTAGCGCCACCTGTTGACAGTTTTAACTGTGAGGGAAAAGAAGCAGCGGTTGCAGAACAGTTCTGTCCCTGTACGTACCGGGCAGGACGGAGGCGGCCTGGCTGATGGACGCCAGGCCCTGCTGCTGCATGGACAGTTGCTGCAGCTTCACCAACTGACAGACAAACGGAGAGTAGAAGCCGTGAGACGATGGAGCTGAGCGGAAATCGCTGCCAGAAACTGGTTTTACCTCCGAATGTGGAATGCTGTAGTGGCTCTGAACCGCGTACGTCTGAAACAGAAGGAACACAAAGCAGAGATTATCAGTTTGACCTCTGCGCCCTATAAAAGCGAGACTCCACCCTCTAAAGGGAGACTCCGCCCTCTAAGGAGAGACTCCGCCCTCTAAAGGGAGACTCCGCCCTCGAAAGGGAGACTCCGCCCTCTAAAGGGAGACTCCGCCCTGTAAGGAGAGACTCCGCCCTCTAAAGGGAGACTCCGCCCTGTAAGGAGAGACTCCGCCCTCTAAAGGGAGACTCCGCCCTCTAAGGAGAGACTCCGCCCTCTAAGGAGAGACTCCGCCCTCTAAAGGGAGACTCCGCCGTCTAAAGGGAGACTCCGCCCTCTAAAGGGAGACTCCGCCATCTAAAGGGAGACTCCGCCCTCTAAAGGGAAACTCCGCCCTCTAAAGGGAAACTCCGCCCTCTAAAGAGAGGCTAAGGCCTCTAAAGGGAGACTCCGCCCTCTAAAGAGAGACTCCGCCCTCTAAAGAGACTCCGCCCTCTAAGGAGAGACTCCGCCCTCTAAAGGGAGACTCCGCCCTCTAAGGAGAGACTCCTCCCTCTAAGGAGAGACTCCGCCCTCTAAAGGGAGACTCCGCCCTCTAAAGAGAGACTCCGCCGTCTAAAGGGAGACTCCGCCGTCTAAAGGGAGACTCCGCCGTCTAAAGGGAGACTCCGCCGTCTAAAGGGAGACTCCGCCGTCTAAAGGGAGACTCCGCCGTCTAAAGGGAGACTCCGCCCTCTAAAGAGAGACTCCGGCCTCTAAAGAGACTCCGCCCTCTACAAGGAGACTCCGCCCTCTAAAGAGAGACTCCGCCCCCTAAAGGGAGACTCCGCCCTCTAAGAGAGGCTAAGGCCTCTAAAGGGAGACTCCGCCCTCTAAAGGGAGACTCCGCCCTCTAAAGAGAGACTCCGCCCTCTAAAAAGACTCCGCCCTCTAAAGAGACTCCGCCCTCTACAAGGAGACTCCGCCATCCACAGCAGGGAGGGCGGAGTCTCCTCACCATGTCCACCTTTCCAGCGACAGAAACCCAGATTACAGCAGAGGAAGTGGCTGAGCTGGTTTTACTGGAACCAGTAAAGAAGCAGCTCTGAAACCAGTGAGGCATATGAAGCACTGGAGGAAAAAAAACTAAAAGTGGCAACACTTTATATACAGCGTGACTGATTTCTTGTATGGAGGGCAAAGTCTGTCAAAATTAGCAATAACTGTAGAAATAAATAAATAAATTGCTTGATAACAAAATGAAAAATTTACTCTTGTGAAGTGTGATGTTAAATTATTAATTTTGACAGGAGCAGTCTTCCATATTTTTTTTTTTTGTCTTTTATAAAAAAATATTTCCTTCCAATATTTTTTTACTCAAAGTTTTTGTCACAGAATGATTTTCACATCCGAGCTGAAAAATGCAGAATGATGTGAATAAAACCCAGAAGAATCCAGAACCGGTCCAGAAACATTTCAGAATATTTCTGCTGCAGTTTCCTCCTCCACCGGCGCCGACCCGACACCTTCCTGCTGCTGGGCCGCAATTAGATCCAGTTACTGTTGTTTTCACTGACAACCGGCCCCACACACACACACACAGACACACACACACACACACACACACAGACACACACACACATACACACACACACACACACATACACACACACACACACACATACACACACACACACACACACACATACACACACACACACACACACACACACACACACACACACACACACACACACACACACACACACACTCGCTGTGAGGCTAAATGCGGCTGCTGCATTCAGAACTGTCGCAGGAATCTGTCCAGCTGTCCTCTCCATGTCCGGTACTGGACTGTTTCGAGTAACTGGACCTTCAGTTTGCCTCTGACATCAGAACTCCGGATCCGGTTCTGATTCTGATGGAGTGATCTCATCAGTGGGAGCGGGTCTGTTCTCCACCTGCAGGTGGCGCTGCAGCGCCGCGTTTACGGCCTTCCATTCGTTCAAGTTGTGAGTAGGAGGATGAACTGGATCAGAACCAATCTGAGGGAAAGAAGGTGTGACTTCAGAAACCTGAACCGGGTTCTGTTCTGAGATGAGGTGAGATCAGAACCGCAGCTGATCCACAGCTGGGTTGGTTCTGGTTCTGATCCGGATTGGCAGAGTGGTTCTGAGGACATTAATCATCAGAAAAAGAAAGACGATTCATCATGAATTAATCATTACTAAAGAAATGAAAGTTAAGTGTTGGTTCTGATCCAAAGGCCCGTCTGGAGCAGCAGAACCAGGAGTTTTAATGATGATGATTCAGCTCATCATAAATCATCATTCCAGGTAACGTTTTGGAGCGCGCTCAGTTCGAACGCAGCCTGCTCTCACATCAACAAACCGTTTCAAAGATGGCCGACGAAGAGCGAGGGAGGAGGAGGAAGAGGAGGATGAGGAGGAGGAAGAGGAGGAAGAGCAGGAGGAGGAGGAGCAAGAGGAGGACAAAAAGGAAGAGGAGGAAAAGGGGGAAGAGGAGGAAGAGGAGGAGGAGGAGGAAGAGGAGGAGAAGGAAGAATAAGGCGTGCATCTTTAATGAAGGCAGCAGAAAAGCTTCAGATCGTTTCTGCAGGAGGAAGATGAGATCTGAACCTCGGACCGAACATCTGACGGTTCGGTTCTGCAGAACTTCAAGACAAAACAGAAAAATGAACTGAGGTTCCAGATGGAAATTAACTGGAACCAAACGTTTATTTCTAGCTTTTTATGCTATTATTTTGACACTAATTGCACAAAGAAATTGGTAGATTCTGCAGATTTTTTTCTTATTTAATCACTGAAGCATTTTTAATAAAAATAACAGAAATACATGGAAAGATGTAAATGAGTAAAGAATTCAGCTCCTTTTCTAATGTTCTGTCTGCTGGTTCTGGTTCTGCTGGAGTTTTCTTCTTGTAAAAGGGACGTTTTTCCTCTCTGCTGTCGCCACATGCTTGCTCATTGTGAGGGGAAATTAACGACCCTCTGCTGGGTTTCCTGATGGAACCGAGTTTGGATCCGTCTGAATCAGGCGACATTAACTGGGAATCAACGGCATAAAAAAACGGAATAAATCCAAATTAAACTGAAGTTAATATGGTTTCATAGACTGTTTCATTTAAAACTTTTATTTCATGGTTTATTTAACCAACCAGAAAAGATCCGTGTTCGGGTCAAAGGTCGGCCGCTGGGCTCTGATGACTCACCTGCTGCAGGTCCAGTCCACCCTGAGCCACGGAGAACAGCGGGTGAGATCCAAAGTCCGAAGCCTCGAACACCTAGAACCGGGACAGAACAGAACTAGCGCTGCAGTTAGAGGTCAGAACCTGACTCGAGTTCCTGCCGACCCGTCGGAGCCGATTTCAGGTCAAAGAAGAACTTCAGAAACTTTCAGCTTCACACGCAACTTTCTCTGAGACGCTCAGACGGCCCAAAGTCAAGGAATTCATGTTTCAGAACCGAACAAAAAGTTGGATTTAAAAACTCCTCAGTAGAAATGAGGAAAATGTGAAATAAATAAAATCTCATCAACATTCATTCTGCTTTTTATTCTCAGATATTTCAATCTGAAAATGATTCATTTGGTTTCTAAGCTTTGATATTCAAATTGATTTCCTGTTTTTCTGAATCTTTCAGTCTGTAACGTTTATAAAATATGTTGTTACATTTTTAATAAAACAGTTTCCATGTGGAAACATTAAAAAATGAGACAGATAATCTGTGAAAAGCTCAAAGAGGAAATATTTTTTACAGATTGTCTGTTGCATATTAAACAGTTTCCACAGCTTTAATAAAAATGTAAAACAATATTTTATAAACTCTCTGAAGAAGCAGAGAGTTTCTTCTTGGTTAATATTCATAATTAAATGTTATTTACTGTCATATTTAAAGACGCTGAAGATGATTTCTTCCTGCCAAAGCAACTCAAGTCAGTGATTTTCCTCAGATGTTTTTCTGACTCCATCCGATATTCAAAATGTGATTGTTCCATATTTTATCATATTTCATATGATGACATTAATGGTTGTACTGGAATAAGTTTGACTGAATTTGGACCAAACTGGATAAAAGGAAATAATCTGAACTAAATATTTAGAGTTGATTTAAAGAGCCTTCACTAGAAATCATGGATCAGAACCGGGCCTGAGATCCAGAGGAAACAAAAATTAAATGAAATGCAAATCATCAGTCAAAATGTTTTGATTTTACACCCTGAAGAAATAAACCAGTAAATAAATTAAAAAGGTGGTGAAGCATTTAATAATTTAATGTTTTCTGCAGATTCCTGAATTCATCTGATAGTTCACTGAACATGTTTGATCCAGAAGCAGAAAACAGAAAAAGCCCAGTTTTCATCCTGACCTGGTTTCCTGCCAGCAGCACCGTTCCTGGACTTGGACTAGGCCGGTATGGAATGGTTGCTCCTTTCGGTGGAGACTGCAGAGAGAAACAAGTAGAAACATCAGTTTCTATCTAAGCTTCAGTATTAAATGTTTGTTTCTGCAGATTTTGCTGCTTGTGACCCAGTTTGGTTAGAAAAACACCAGAAGCTCCTCCTGCTCCCTGCTTCTGTTTGGCTCAGATTCATTTCTTTCCTTTCTGGCCTGCAGGCTGAGGATCTGGATCGGAGCAGAACCGGAGCTGCAGCTCAGCTCCGGCGGGTTAAATATCCACATCACCACTTCCAACGTCGACACAGCGCCATTCTCCAAAAAGATTTAAAAAAGACTCGATCAGCTGAATTAACTTTATTTTCTCTGTCTGATGGAAGATCTGATAAACATCTGGCAGCTGCAAAGCGTCATAATAACCCATCATAAAGCGATTCATCGACTGAATCAGGATGAACTTTGACTCTGACGGTTAGGGTTGTATGGAAAGCCTGACGGGACAAAAGTCAAGCAGTTTCTAATACCTTGCAGAGCAATAATCAATACCTAATGAAATGTTTAACCAGTGGAAGGAGTGTATCGTTTCATATTTTGCTACTTTGAGAGAATGCTTTCATCTCAAACAACACAAAAAGAACTTTCAGTTTCAGACTTCAAGGTTTTTGTTCATCGGCTTCCTGTAGGAATCCTTCTCAGATTAAATCCCTTAATGATCTAAATCCATCCAGATCTCATTGGTTCTAGTTAAATTACAGTTAATTAGTGGCTGGATGGTAGAACTGCAGCTGAATTATGAATCATCCATCAGAACAAACTGAGTATTTAACGTTTCAGAGCCAGACCTGAACCAGCCTCCAAAGCAGGATTTATGGCACTGTTAAAGCTCCTTAATGTGAGCAGAGCTGGTTGGAACATTCAGCAGATACAGGAGTTTCACAGCAAAGTGTGTTTTAGTATTTCATTTAAAGCAACTCTTTATTGGTTCTCCTATTTCATGACACTGAGAGTTTGGCTTTGCAAACCGTTCACACTTTAAGGTTTGAGTGAAGCTGAGGGTTTTTACGTGTCCTTCCTGTTTAGAGTCTAAAACAAATGTCTTGGTATCAATCGGTGATTCTGTTCACGTCAACAATGACAAAGACTTCCCTGCTGGCAGCTTCGACCAAACAACAAATCGCATCCAAACCTCTGAGGAGATTCACCAGCTTCAGTCAAACCTTTTGACAAACGGCATAAATAAACGCTTTGATTCAGAGCTAATAAGATGTGATGAGTTTGTGAAGTAAATATTGTTAAAACACAATATATAGAAATAGAAATGTCTTTATTTTCCTGCAACAACAACAAAGTGACAGGAAATCACACAAAATAAAATAAAATAATAAAGAGTAAGTTATGGTACAGTCCGGGAAACATTTCAACAGAAATGCAGTTATTAAAGACGGCATAAAAATGAAAACATCTAAAGACCTGCAGACTCTGCACATTTATATACTAAACTTTGCATTTTAAAAACAAATTTCAGTCAATGGCTAAAATAAAGAAGAAGAGGCAAAATTTAGTTCCTCAGATGTGCAACAAACCGTCCAGAACCGCCGCTCCTTTAAATCAGCTCTGAACCAAGATCCACTGCAGATGATCCATAAAATCATCTTCATCTGCTCACAACTTGTCATCTCAACATGTTTCCTCTTTATGTGATGATTTCTGCTGTTTTTATCCTTTTATCTGATTCTTGATGTTTTAGCTGAAAATAAAATATTCCTGTTTGTTTTTTCTGTAATCTGCAGTTTTTCTCTCAGATAAAAAATCTGAAGGCAGATTAATAATTTTCAGCTTCTTCTTGTTTTTAATGGAGAAAATGCATCTTAAAAATCAGTTTACTGCTTTTAAAATCTCAGAATTATCTTAAAACCTGTTTCAGCCAGAAATCCAAGAATAAATGAATATTGATAATAATAAAAAAGTGATTTCAGTTTATTCAGAATCAACAGAAGGAAAAATCAAGAATAATAAATTCTTGTTATTTTTGCTGTCTTTAGACCGGAGAACAAAAATCATAATTGACGCTGAATTCTATGGAAGCATTTAACTGCAGAACTCAGACATGAACTCATGAGAAGAATCTTGTTAAAACAAGAAACTTTTATGTTATAGATGCAAAACTTGTTAAAATGAGGAGTTTGTTGTTATAATGAGATTCTTGTTTAAAGGCACGACTACTCATTAAAACTTTCCGTTTCTCACCCCATTTCTTCCAGACTATATTCAATTGTTGTTAAACCTTAATTATTTAAAAGAAAATGTTTTGGCTTTAATGAGTTATAAGTCTCATTATAATAAGTTTTCAAAATGTTGTTAAAATCAGAATGTTTTTTGTTGAGCTCTGCTCCTGAATGTAATTCTAAGCTCTGGCAGTAAAGGGCTTCCGTAAATTTTCTTTACTTGCTTAACCCTTCAAACCAATAAATGACATTAAAATGTTCGTTGCTGGGCTGAAAATGGCAGCGATAACATTCCGTATCTGAGGGAGAACTGAAGGGATGAAAGCAGCAACGGCTTTTAGGAAGAATCAAATCCAGCTGAGCTCAGCGTTTTCCTTCCGTCTCTCCTCCCAGATTCCGACGCTGGGGAATACCAATGAGCTTCCCGGACACTTTCCCTGTTTCCAGCTGAAAGCTGTGAGTTGAAGCTGTGAGGTGAAGCTCAGAGTTTCGGCGTTTTCCCCTGCAGCTGCGTTGTAATGAGCTGCAGCTCGGCGCTCGGCTGTCAGCTCCCAGGTTTCTGCTCCCTCACTGTGTTATTTTTGACCACAAAAAGCCACCGAGCTGACCTGCTCGGCAGCAAACAGCAGAGACACACAAAGCGGCCGGCTGACTCTTCTCCAGCAGAACACACGTTTCACCTGCAACATCTGCAGCATCGAAGCTCAGAGGGAAACGAAACCATTCAAACTCATCACATTTCTCGGATCTCAGCTGATCCAGACTGAAAAACCTTTTGCTCTTCCAGGTTTATGACTGCTGTTTCTTCATGCTGAGTCTGTTTTCTGGCTTTAAAATAAATAGAGCAAGCTCTGCCCGGTGGCAGCACCCGCCAGCAGCTTCTACGTCCTGAAGTTCTCCTCTTCTGAAGCATGAAAACCAGACGTACTTGAATCCTGGCGACTGAATGAATCACCAGGATCTAAAGAAATAAGGTCTGTGAATTTCTTAATGTTCATTAGAGAGTTTTGAAAACAAACATGAACCGAATTAACAGCCAGAATCCAACTGCAGACAAGAACACATTCCTCAAATCATTCATTTGGAAAATTTAAAAATTTGAAAATAATAAGTCATATTTCCTCCAGTTGTCATGTGAACTTTGAGCAATCTTTCAAATGTCATAAAAAAATGATTCAGTCGGTTTCCATCCCACTGGTTTGTAGAAATAATAATAATAAACAGGAAGTGAAGGATGAAAAACCAGCCTGGAGCACAAAATGTCTGAGAGTCTCCAACCTGCACAGGTTTGGACTTTCACATTCAGGTAGGGTTAGCTGTACCCTACCTTGTCCAGCAGTCAAGCCCTGAATCAGGATGGAAACGTACCTCCAGGATCACCGTGCAGATCAGCTTCACACACTGGATGATGGCGTCATGCCCTCCGGATATCGTCACCTCCCTCTCCGTGGAGTTGGGCAGAAGGTCACCGGCCACCTGGACCTGCGCACCTGTTGTCTACACACACACACACCACACACACACACACACACACACACACACACAACATGATTCATCTGGCTAGAACTTGGCACCAATGGAGCCTTTGTCAATATTTCTGAATATCCCATCCTAGACCACCAGGTGGCGCTGTGATCCTGTTTGTCTGACTTGTTCCTCCTGACATAAGCCTTCCTCTGATTGGTCCAGACTCACCTCTCTGATCTCCTTGATCTTTGACCCTCCTTTGCCGATGAGCGAGCCGCACTGGCTGGCCGGGATGACGAGCCGCAGAGTGACCGGAGGTTTGCTGGTCACCGTGCCGTTGGCGACCAGCGCCGCCAGGTCCTGAGGACAGACAGGAAGTCCATCCATCAGTCCACCAGACATGGACCTGGTCACCTCTGACCTTTAACCTGCTTCCTCTGGCTGAAGGTCAGTCAGAGGTTCATGTTCATCTGGTAAAATCAGATCTTGTGTTCGGTAAAACCTCCAGATGATTGACTGGGATTAAACCAACGCAGGGAATGCTGGCAGAGTGAAAGCGTGATCAGTAATAAATATGATAATGAAATGAAAGGAGGAGAGCAAAGACAAAGAGGAATTTAACTTTTCCTTCACATCTTAATGCAGAAACAAGCAGCAGAAGATTTATTGACCAAAATCAGCAGATTAGGGAACGAAAATGAGAAAAACTGGATCAGGAAGAACCAAGATTTTCCTGAATGTCGTTCCAGTTTAACAGAAAACCAGTTCAGCACAGAGACTGGGAGCCATGGAGAGTTTATTCTCATCACGTTGTTCTGGCTGGCCCAGACCACGTTTACACTCCGCCTCCATTTAATTGATTGAACCAATCGCATTAAGAGCTGCAGATGCAGGCTGTTATTTATTACCCGCTTAATTAAAGAAAGAGGCCGGACCGGACCGGACCGGAGGCAGGACAGATAAATGAAAAGCCCAGCGAACGGCAGAAGTCCGGCTGATTAAAAGACAAGTAAATTTAGAACGAGGGATCATTTAGAGGTGAAGAAGAAACGGCAAAGAAAACCTGAAGATTTCTGTTAAACAGGAAGCAGCTGAAGTTCACAGAACCAGTTAGATCCAGACAGAACCAGTTAGAACCAGTCAGAACCAGTTAGAACCAGTCAGAACCAGTTAGAACCAGACAGAACCAGTTAGAACCAGACAGAACCAGTTAGAACCAGACAGAACCAGTTAGAACCAGACAGAACCAGTTAGAACCAGTCAGAACCAGTTAGAACCAGACAGAACCAGTTAGAACCAGACAGAACCAGACAGAACCAATTATAACCAGACAGAACCAGTTAGAACCAGACAGAACCAGTCAGAGTTAGAACCTGTTAGAACCAGACAGAACCAGTTAGAACCAGACAGAACCAGTTAGTACCAGACAGAACCAGTGCGAACCAGTTAGAACCAGACAGAACCAGTGAGAACCAGACAGAACCAGTGAGAACCAGTTAGAACCAGACAGAACCAGTTAGAACCAGTCAGAACCAGTCAGAACCAGTTAGAACCAGACAGAACCAGTTAGAACCAGTTAGAACCAGTCAGAACCAGTTAGAACCAGACAGAACCAGTTAGAACCAGTTAGAACCAGTCAGAACCAGTTAGAACCAGACAGAACCAGTCAGAACCAGACAGAACCAGTGAGAACCAGTTAGAACCAGACAGAACCAGTTAGAACCAGTCAGAACCAGTTAGAACCAGTCAGAACCAGTTAGAACCAGACAGAACCAGTTAGAACCAGTCAGAACCAGTTAGAACCAGACAGAACCAGTTAGAACCAGACAGAACCAGTTAGAACCAGTCAGAACCAGTTAGAACCAGACAGAACCAGTTAGAACCAGACAGAACCAGACAGAACCAGTTAGAACCAGACAGAACCAGTTAGAACCAGACAGAACCAGTCAGAACCAGTTAGAACCAGTTAGAACCAGACAGAACCAGTTAGAACCAGTCAGAACCAGTTAGAACCAGACAGAACCAGTTAGTACCAGACAGAACCAGTGCGAACCAGTTAGAACCAGACAGAACCAGTGAGAACCAGACAGAACCAGTGAGAACCAGTTAGAACCAGACAGAACCAGTTAGAACCAGTCAGAACCAGTCAGAACCAGTTAGAACCAGACAGAACCAGTTAGAACCAGTTAGAACCAGTCAGAACCAGTTAGAACCAGACAGAACCAGTTAGAACCAGTTAGAACCAGTCAGAACCAGTTAGAACCAGACAGAACCAGTCAGAACCAGACAGAACCAGTGAGAACCAGTTAGAACCAGACAGAACCAGTTAGAACCAGTCAGAACCAGTTAGAACCAGACAGAACCAGTTAGAACCAGACAGAACCAGTTAGAACCAGTCAGAACCAGTGCGAACCAGTTAGAACCAGTCAGAACCATTAGAACTAGTCAGAACCAGTTAGAACCAGACAGAACCAGTTAGAACCAGTCAGAACCAGTTAGAACCAGACAGAACCAGTTAGAACCAGTCAGAACCAGTGCGAACCAGTTAGGACCAGACAGAGCCAGTTAGAACCAGTCAGAACCAGTCAGAACCAGTTAGAACCAGACAGAACCAGACAGAACAAGTTATAACCAGACAGAACCAGTCAGAACCAGTTAGAACCAAACAGAACCAATGAGAACCAGTCAGAAACAAATAGAACCAGTTAGAACTAGTCAGAACCAGTTAGAACCAGTCAGAACCAGTTTAGAACCAGTCAGAACCAGTTAGAACCAGACAGAACCAGTTAGAACCAGTCAGAACCAGTCCGAACCAGTTAGAACCAGACAGAACCAGTTAGAACCAGTCAGAACCAGTTAGAACCAGTCAGAACCAGACAGAACCAGTTAGAACCAGTCAGAACCAGTTAGAACCAGACAGAACCAGTTAGAACCAGACAGAACCAGTTAGAACCAGACAGAACCAGTTAGAACCAGACAGAACCAGTTAGAACCAGACAGAACCAGACAGAACCAGTTAGAACCAGACAGAACCAGTTAGAACCAGACAGAACCAGTCAGAACCAGTTAGAACTAGTTAGAACCAGACAGAACCAGTTAGAACCAGTCAGAACCAGTTAGAACCAGACAGAACCAGTTAGAACCAGACAGAACCAGTGAGAACCAGTTAGAACCAGACAGAACCAGTTAGAACCAGACAGAACCAGTTAGAACCAGTCAGAACCAGTCAGAACCAGTTAGAACCAGACAGAACCAGTTAGAACCAGTCAGAACCAGTTAGAACCAGACAGAACCAGTTAGAACCAGTTAGAACCAGTCAGAACCAGTTAGAACCAGACAGAACCAGTCAGAACCAGTGAGAACCAGTTAGAACCAGACAGAACCAGTTAGAACCAGTGCGAACCAGTTAGAACCAGTCAGAACAGTTAGAACTAGTCAGAACCAGTTAGAACCAGTGCGAACCAGTTAGGACCAGACAGAACCAGTTAGAACCAGACAGAACCAGTCAGAACCAGTTAGAACCAGACAGAACCAGACAGAACCAGTTAGAACCAGACAGAACCAGACAGAACCAGTTATAACCAGACAGAACCAGTTAGAACCAGTCAGAACCAGTGCGAACCAGTTAGGACCAGACAGAACCAGTTAGAACCAGACAGAACCAGTCAGAACCAGTTAGAACCAGACAGAACCAGACAGAACCAGTTAGAACCAGACAGAACCAGACAGAACCAGTTAGAACCAGACAGAACCAGTTAGAACCAGACAGAACCAGTGAGAACCAGACAGAACCAAATAGAACCAGACAGAACCAGTTAGAACCAGTCAGAACCAGTGAGAACCAGTGCGAACCAGTTAGGACCAGACAGAACCAGTTAGAACCAGTCAGAACCAGTGAGAACCAGACAGAACCAGACAGAACCAGTTATAACCAGACAGAACCAGTCAGAACCAGTTAGAACCAGACAGAACCAGTTAGAACCAGTCAGAACCAAATAGAACCAGACAGAACCAGTGAGAACCAGTTAGAACCAGACAGAACCAGTTAGAACCAGTCAGAACCAGTGAGAACCAGACAGAACCAGTTAAACCAGTTAGAACCAGTCAGAACCAGTTAGAACCAGACAGAACCAGTTAGAACCAGACAGAACCAGTTAGAACCAGTCAGAACCAGACAGAACCAGTTAGAACCAGTCAGAACCAGTGAGAACCAGACAGAACCAGTTAGAACCAGGCAGAACCAGTGCGAACCAGTTAGGACCAGACAGAACCAGTTAGAACCAGACAGAAAAAGTCAGAACCAGTTAGAACCAGACAGAACCAGTGAGAACCAGTTAGAACCAGACAGAACCAGTGACAAACCAGACAGAAAAAGTCAGAACCAGTTAGAACCAGACAGAACCAGTGAGAACCAGTTAGAACCAGTCAGAACCAGTCAGAACCAGTTAGAACCAGACAGAACCAGTTAGAACCAGTTAGAACCAGTCAGAACCAGTTAGAACCAGACAGAACCAGTTAGAACCAGTTAGAACCAGTCAGAACCAGTTAGAACCAGACAGAACCAGTGCGAACCAGTTAGAACCAGTCAGAACCAGTTAGAACCAGTCAGAACCAGTTAGGACCAGACAGAACCAGTTAGAACCAGTCAGAACCAGTGAGAACCAGACAGAAC